AGGGAGTATTCTTTGGTACGAAAGTTGTACCGCAATCTGAGTTATTGAGGGGCAGCGGCGTAGCCATAATTTTAAAGGGGGCAAAACTTTTATTAATATGCTTAATCTCTTTCAAAGTGTAAACCTACAATTCTAATACATGATTTAGTTTGAGAAGTGTCTCTAAGCATTAGATTACCATTTATTATATTTGCACTTACAACAAAATCCGTTTTGGCACCTTGGTGAATCGCAAAATCGTGAACGAATTGATTTTTTTTTTAAAGATGAAAGAGATATAAAAAATAATGGAGGAATGTTATACAAATTAAACGAAAATAGTGAAGAGGATTTTACACTATAACATTTTTATATATTTTTTTGTGCATTTCATTATGCGCCTGCTAAATCTATCACATGAAATGTTTGATTTGGTGATTTTTGTACATTTTTACTTCTGCATGAAGTCGATAGGAGCAACTGCACTATTTAAGATTCCCATTGTGTAAGAAACCCACATTTCATTGCTTTTGTCATTGATTTATAATATTCATGTTCGTGTATGTAATAAAGCTCATATAGCATTTGACTGTAGGGTTACATACCCTGTAACTCCTAATAATAACAAAAAGCCTTTCCTAACCACGAAATGCCCTTACTCTGTTTTCCTTTATTTATTCTTATATTATTACAAAATTATAGATCGATAGCATTACATTGCCAGTGGAATAGAAAGTAAATATCATTAAATGGGGAGGGGTCACACAGGAAAAGAGATCGGATGTTGACAAATAATGGGCCATAAACTGACACAAAATTGTTTGTCAATTTACCACTTTATTTTTCTTTACTGTTATTTTCTCCAGAAATTGGGAGAGGGCACAAGGGAAAAGGGAGTTTTGTTTGATGTTTTTCAAGTCAAGACGGACCCATGATAGTCGCGATACTCAAGAATGCAGACATGAGACGTTCTGTTGAGGATAATTGGAAGAGAAAACTAACAAAGGTTGGACAATGCTTAGCCAAAGCCTCTTGGGCTACTCAATCGCCTATTATGGGACCTCAATAAGGTATCGTTCTCTTTGTGTAGAAAGCAACAAATAATACCATTATCATTACACGCATCCCAGCCTTAAGCGCCCCCAATCATTGGCGGGACATTCTGAAAAGATTCGATAATTCCACGATTTCCTATAACTCTTCTCATTTATCATGCTTCCCCTCACGAAATCCACCAGTTTCTATTTTTATATGAGAATACTGCTCCTTCCTACTGTTCTGAACTCTTACCCGTATTATTTATAGTGTCGTCTTCATGCAGACGACAAGAATTTGAAAACACACACCAATAACCAGAAAAGGGGTTGTGCTCCACAGTCAATATCTTTAAAACCATGCTTTGGTCATGTCTACATGGTATTCTGATGGTGGTGTGGAAGAGCCCGAATGTGGGTTTTGGTTGGAGATGAAGGATGTTTTTGAAAGGTTGCAAGAGTAATTTTCTTCTCGTCTATTGTCGAGATATAAAAGAGAGATAGCTGGAAAAGTTGAGGATTTAGGTTTATTTGTCGAGTTAAATACCACTTATCATAATCGACGATCCTATCAAGGAGTGTCTGTAATGTGGCTCATAACCACTCCTTTCCAGTGTATCATACACAATGTAATAATGGCTAACTAGTTCCTCAGACATATTGCTATCCCAACGGTGTCTCGAAAAGATGTATATAAAACAACACAATCGTCGGATCTGGCTGAAGCTTATTTTCAATTTGAAATGCCATGACTACAAATTATTTCGAAGCGTAATGACCAAACATATAACAAAAACAAAAACAAAATGGAAGGGATTAATGATTGAATTGAATTGAATTGATGTCTTTATTTATACACGGTTAAAAAATCCCAAATAGTTACAAGACTGATTTCCATTGGGACCGAGTGAAACAATGTAAATACATCAAATAAACATATCATTTGTGATATTAAAAAAGTTACAATGGTACATCAAATGACATATTTAAAACAATCGAGAAATAATAGGATCAAGATAAATAATAGGATAAAGATAAATATATGAATAAAATAACAATAGAATAGTACTGCTGGAAAAGAATATGTATAAGAACACAAATAATCATAAGTGGCTGAACAAGAGTACTGTAAATATATTACTAATTCAAATTGGTAAACAGATTCGCATATATAAGAATGTTGAGAGAGGGTCCCCTCCCCTCCCCAGTAGCACCGCTGGTATCAAGCTCAACCCTATTGTGATAGCCATGCATGTGTGTCTCATTTCCACTCATACGAAAGTAACTGAAACTATGGAACTATGGACTGAATAAAATAGAAAGCAAAACTAGTTGAATTTGCATCCCTCTCATTGGCACAATCTTTTCCGTCAAATATCTACAATTTCAAGAGTTTTCACTTTCTTTGAAAGATTATGCGAAATCCACAGTATCGCAGAGTTGAGATTTGGAATGAAACAATTTCAAAGTATATTAATGATAATAAAAATGTAATACCTTTATAGCGCATAATTCCGGAAAGTCTTTATGCGGTTCACAAATATATGGTGGCCCTGAAGGGACATCGCGAATAGACTAAATCGTGAAAAATATGCGATAAAATTCACGATATCGTCAATTTTATCGCATATTTTTCACGAAGAAATTCACGAAATTGACGATATCGTGAACTTTATCGTGAACTTTTCACGATGAAATTGACGATATCGTGAATTTTATCGTGAAAAGTTCACGATATAAAGTTCACGATATCGTCAATTTTATCGTGTACTCTATCGTGTACTCTATCGTGTACTCTCCTGACGGGCGCTTCGTAAACAAAACCAGCCCTAGCTGGGGGAGACAGAGAGAAGGAAAAAAGGGAAAGGGAAAGAGAAGATAAAAGGAAAGAAAGAATAATAAGAAGAAAAGAGGGAAACGGGGGGGGGGCGAAGGGCTCTTGCCTCCTCCTCACTCCCCCCCCCTCCCCGCCAAAAAATAAATCAGAGAGAGAGAGAGAGAACGGAAAGGGAAAGGGAAAGAGAAGATAAAAGGAAAGAAAGAAGAGGAAGAAGGAAAGAGGGAAACGGGGGAAGGGCGAAAGGCTCTTACCTCCCCCCCCCCGCCAAAAAAATAAATAAGAGAGAGAGAGAGAGAGAGAAGGGAAAGGGAAAGAAAGAAGAGGAATAAGAGGGAAACAGGGGAAGGGCGAAGGGCTCTTGCCTCCTCCCCCCCCCCCGCCAAAAATAAATAAGAGAGAGAAGGGAAAGGGAAAGAAAATATAAAAGGAAAGAAAGAAGAGGAATAAGAAGGAAAGAGGGAAACGGGGGAAGGGCGAAGGGCTCTTGCCTCCTCCCTCCCCACCCCCCGCCAAAAAAAAAATAAGAGATAGAGAGAGAAGGGAAAGGGAAAGGGAAAGAGAAGATAAAAGGAAAGAAAGAAGAGGAAGAAGAAGAAGAAAAGAGGGAAACGGGGGCGAAGGGCTCTTGCACCCCCCGCCCAAAAAATAAATAAGAGAGAGAGAGAGAGAGAGAAGGGAAAGGGAAAGAGAATAAAAAAGGAAAGGAAGAAGAATAAGAAGAAAAGAGGGGCTCTTGCCTCCTCCCCCCTCCCGCGCCAACAAATAAATAGGAGAGATAGAGAGAAGGGAAAGGGAAAGGGAAAGAAAATATAAAAGGAAAGAAAGAAGAAGAAGACGGAAAGAGGGAAACGGGGGAAGGGCGAAAGGCTCTTACCTCCCCCTCCCCCCTCCCGCCATAAAGGGAAAGAGAAGGGAGAGGGAAAGAAAATATAAAAGGAAAGAAAGAAGAGGAAAAAGAATAAGAAAAGAGGGAAACAGGGGCGAAGGGCTCTTGCCTCCTTTCTTTTCTTTCTTTTCCTTTCTTTCCTATTCTCCCTCTTTTTCGTTTTTCTCTTTCTTTCTTCTCTTTCCCTTTCCTTCTCTCTCTCTCTCTTATTTATTTTTTGGCGGGGGGCGGGGGACGAGGCAAAAGCCCTTTGCCCCCGTTTCCCTCTTTTCTTCTTCTTCCTCTTCTTTCTTTCCTTTTATCTTCTCTTTCCCTTTCCCTTTCCCTTCTCTCTCTCTCTCTCTGATTTATTTTTTGGCGGGGGGGGGGAGGGGGGGCAAGAGTCCTTCGCCCTTCCTCCGTTTTCCTCTTTTCTTCTTCTTCCTCTTCTTTCTTTCCTTTTATCTTCTCTTTCCCTTTCCCTTTCCGTTCTCTCTCTCTCTCTCTGATTTATTTTTTGGCGGGGGGGGGGGGGGGAGTGAGAAGGAGGCAAGAGCCCTTCGCCCCCCCCCCCGTTTCCCTCTTTTCTTCTTATTATTCTTTCTTTCCTTTTATCTTCTCTTTCCCTTTCCCTTTTTTCCTTCTCTCTGTCTCCCCCAGCTAGGGCTGGTTTTGTTTACGAAGCGCCCGTCAGGAGAGTACACGATAGAGTACACGAGTGAACTTTATATCGTGAACTTTTCACGATAAAATTCACGATATCGTCAATTTCATCGTGAAAAGTTCACGATAAAGTTCACGATATCGTCAATTTCGTGAATTTCTTCGTGAAAAATATGCGATAAAATTGACGATATCGTGAATTTTGTCGCATATTTTTCACGATTTAGTCTATTCGCGATGTCCCTTCAGGGCCACCATACAAATATGATACTCAAGAAAGTAAATAATTCTACAGTGAAAGGATCGTTAGATTTTTAAAGAAAAGGGCAACTTTACGGAATAATATAAATAAGATAAACTATAATAGTGCAATTGAAAGTATACATGACACTGGAAATAGAAATCAATGTTCTTGTAACTTAAGTATTAATTAAGAATGCACCGAAAACTACAATAATTGTGTTAGGTATACTTATGTTACAAGTAAGAGTTCGAAGCAAACATAATATGTAATGAATCATGCAGTTAGTTTGTTAGAGAGATACTCAGATTCTTATCATGCACTTCACAACCTAACTAACATTTAGATCACATTGTGAGGAAAAAAAGTGTAATGCATGTCAGACCCTGTTTATTAAGGTATATTCTATTTTTTTGAGTAAACCTATTTTCTATTTTTGAGTAAGCTTATATTACTTTAAATTGTTGAACCCCTATTTAAAGTGTACCTTTAAACTATGTTTCTATTAAGATCACCTCTCTGGTATATGCTACTGGTGAAACAAAGAGATGGGAACAAAAAGACCCCTATTCTATAGGCCTTGTTTATGTCTTAAACCCAGACCACTTCCTTTATTCGTAGAGTACATAAATCATGAATGACCAGTGGATACAGTTACTGGTACCCCTTTGTCTTGGGGATAGGGAATAGTGGGGTTGTTTGCCTGGTTTGGAAGAAAGATTGGCTTTCTCGTTGAGAGCAAGTTTAGACTTCAAGGCAGATAGACGTGTGATGTAACTTCCCCCAGAAGTTACTATGTCGCAGCTTTTTAAGACCTGCCTTGATTTTGTTTCTTAACAGGTAAGCGAACACCCACCTTCCTAAAAGTATATTCATGTTCTATTCTAGTAAATTATAGAGATATCACAAGTTCCTAATGCAATTTGAATTAATTGTATGATATTGTTTAGTGTGATTCTCCTTACGTTGGAAAACCCATTGTTATATTTTCATGTGTTTATTCCTTAACTTTTGATACAAGATGGTTGTGACTGTGTATGAATTAAGATACCACTTTCCACAAGCCAGACCTATTTATAGATATTTCAGTCATTGTAAAATACTTTTTGATTAGATAGTTTAGTGATAGCCCAATAACTACTTGTAAGACGATAAATACTCTTGTTGAACTACTGTGTTCCATATAAAGAAGAATTATTATTGATTAAGTAGGAGAGCAAGTTTAGACTTCAAGGCAGATAGACGTGTGATGTAACTTCCCCCAGAAGTTACTATGTCGCAGCTTTTTAAGACCTGCCTTGATTTTGTTTCTTAACAGAGTTCCACCATGGTTCCACCATGGTTCCAGTTCCATTTCCCTCGGGACAAGAGTTGGGACTGCTGTCGTTGTTCAGGCAACGCTCTCCGCCTGATCGATGTATTTAGTGCTTACTGACGAACGACTTGTGTTTTATCATTGGTACTTAATATGAACATCTATTCTTTTCTTCTATTTCCCTAATATGTTTCTACTGTACAGTGTAGTTTAGTTTGTTCCTTTCCTATCAGTTATTTTACCTGTATATGTTAAGAGTTATCACTGTAAGTTTGTGAAGCCTTGCATGTCGGCTAAAGATTCCGCTGATATATATAACTATTATATGTTTATCAATACATGTTTTTATGTATTATACTTATTATTTGGATGAGTGATATTTTGTAGCTTAGCCTACCTTTGAGGTTAAGTGTTAATAAATCCTTTCTTTTGGATCTTTCACTCAAACTACTCTGTGGAGATATCCTTATTTGTTTTTGTTGGTTCTTTAACTAAAATCTCCTGTATAAAATAAACCCCTGAACTGGGTGCAGGTGAACAAGGATTTACCTGTGTTAACAAATGGAGGCACTGCCCGGATATTAAATTTTCTTGGAAAATAATAGGTGTTTTTCCCAAAAGGAAAATCCTGTTTAGATTATACATTTTTTTATAATTGCTTCAATTGAGAATTAGGTTCTCTTTACCTCTCTTTTTGCTTAGAAGAGATTAACTATTTTCTGTGTATATGATTGTTGTGTTGATTGCCACAACTTGTAAAACACTAAGTTGGACATAGCGTATATTTGAAAGTGGTCTTAATAATTTGAAGTGTGACCTAATCAATTTTTGTTGCTGTTGTTCAGGTCAAATCAGTAGCAGCCCTACTACTGACAGGCGTAACAGTAAACAAGGGGTAGCTTGTCCAGCTTAGTTGTTACTGTGGTTTCTATTTTACTATATCAATATTCTCATCATATAATTATTTTGTTTTTTATATAATAATTAGCACGTTCTTGAATCCTGATTGGTGTTATAAATAGTATATTTAGGCACCTTAATATCTTAAACTATTTTGTAACCCTGTTTTTGGATAGTTTAGCTTTATAATCTTTTTAAAAAAAATGTCTGACTCTAACCCTAAGTTTAAGGCAGAGCTAGTGAAGTTTCTGGCCGAACAGGTGGCCAAAGATAAACCTAAAAAGTGTCCCATAAGGCGATCTGCAATTATGAGTTTGCAGATGACGCCATCTCATCAGGCCACATCTGATAAATCTCCAGCCGCACTAGTAGTGGGTACCCAATTCACTGTCTGGGCTGAGGTTGACGGAGTGTGTGCCCTATGAGTGCCTTATGGACACTAGGTCGATCCCAAGTGACATGCATATCTGCTTATTGTTATCACGAAAAGTTAGCGCACCGTCACTTGGAATCCATGACGACCTGTTCGTGTTTGGTGCAGGTGGAATCAGAAGTTCCATACATTGTTGGGTACATCGAGGCCCATCTGCACTTTCACACTGACAATTAGGTTTGCGTTCAGTCAGAGACGACAACGCTGGCACTGGTTATTTTTATTTTACAAGTTTTATTGGACAAGTTAGCACCAAACCAATGAAATCCTTAATTGCCACCACCCTTCCCGGGTGAAGCTCATTCTACCCAAGAATGAAGAATAGTGGCAGGAGGAATCCTTCGGCAGTTCTCTGGAAAGGGAGTGTCGTCTGATAGTTGGATGCGGTGTTTGACCGAAGAGGTGTACCCAATGTTGAGGTCATCTACAGAGAATTACATCTTGCCATCTAGGTAGGAAAGTATGAGATTGGTTAATCTCTCTCTGTCCTCTGAAGTCTGCGGAAATTTATCATTGTATTGACTTGTAATTAAAGATGTCGGGACGCCATGATTCTAGGAGGGGAGAGTGTCAGACCCTGTTTATTAAGGTATATTCTATTTTTTTGAGTAAACCTATTTTCTATTTTTGAGTAAGCTTATATTACTTTAAATTGTTGAACCCCTATTTAAAGTGTACCTTTAAACTATGTTTCTATTAAGATCACCTCTCTGGTATATGCTACTGGTGAAACAAAGAGATGGGAACAAAAAGACCCCTATTCTATAGGCCTTGTTTATGTCTTAAACCCAGACCACTTCCTTTATTCGTAGAGTACATAAATCATGAATGACCAGTGGATACAGTTACTGGTACCCCTTTGTCTTGGGGATAGGGAATAGTGGGGTTGTTTGCCTGGTTTGGAAGAAAGATTGGCTTTCTCGTTGAGAGCAAGTTTAGACTTCAAGGCAGATAGACGTGTGATGTAACTTCCCCCAGAAGTTACTATGTCGCAGCTTTTTAAGACCTGCCTTGATTTTGTTTCTTAACAGGTAAGCGAACACCCACCTTCCTAAAAGTATATTCATGTTCTATTCTAGTAAATTATAGAGATATCACAAGTTCCTAATGCAATTTGAATTAATTGTATGATATTGTTTAGTGTGATTCTCCTTACGTTGGAAAACCCATTGTTATATTTTCATGTGTTTATTCCTTAACTTTTGATACAAGATGGTTGTGACTGTGTATGAATTAAGATACCACTTTCCACAAGCCAGACCTATTTATAGATATTTCAGTCATTGTAAAATACTTTTTGATTAGATAGTTTAGTGATAGCCCAATAACTACTTGTAAGACGATAAATACTCTTGTTGAACTACTGTGTTCCATATAAAGAAGAATTATTATTGATTAAGTAGGAGAGCAAGTTTAGACTTCAAGGCAGATAGACGTGTGATGTAACTTCCCCAGAAGTTACTATGTCGCAGCTTTTTAAGACCTGCCTTGATTTTGTTTCTTAACAGAGTTCCACCATGGTTCCACCATGGTTCCAGTTCCATTTCCCTCGGGACAAGAGTTGGGACTGCTGTCGTTGTTCAGGCAACGCTCTCCGCCTGATCGATGTATTTAGTGCTTACTGACGAACGACTTGTGTTTTATCATTGGTACTTAATATGAACATCTATTCTTTTCTTCTATTTCCCTAATATGTTTCTACTGTACAGTGTAGTTTAGTTTGTTCCTTTCCTATCAGTTATTTTACCTGTATATGTTAAGAGTTATCACTGTAAGTTTGTGAAGCCTTGCATGTCGGCTAAAGATTCCGCTGATATATATAACTATTATATGTTTATCAATACATGTTTTTATGTATTATACTTATTATTTGGATGAGTGATATTTTGTAGCTTAGCCTACCTTTGAGGTTAAGTGTTAATAAATCCTTTCTTTTGGATCTTTCACTCAAACTACTCTGTGGAGATATCCTTATTTGTTTTTGTTGGTTCTTTAACTAAAATCTCCTGTATAAAATAAACCCCTGAACTGGGTGCAGGTGAACAAGGATTTACCTGTGTAACATGCAGTTATAAAGTTTCTGAGGATTCTCTCATTTTTATCAAAACCAAAACCATTGCCTTTCAGATATCTTTGCCATTAATCAGCCAGTAATTACTGTCAATCGTTTGTATGACTGAGTGAGAAAATCAACCCTCACCAGTCACTGGCTGCTAAAAAGAGATCATTTCATTTGATAATAATTATACAATGAACATCGGTCAGTTTAAGGAAATAAAGAACAGTCAAATGGATTTGACCTCCTATAGCGGATTTATCGTTGATCATTTGTAATACCATCAAATAGTCGCAATTATTGGTGCGCAATGGGATTGGTAACTTCCTAATCAAATTATATGGGAGGGGCATTGTCACAAAGATGCCATTTGTCAGACACTAATGGACAGATTTAAATCACCTTTGTCGATATCCTGTAACCTGCGTGCTAACTCTTCAGATGGTTGTACATCAAATACATCGAGGGATTAAACAAATACAGGAATGAAAATGTAAATGAACGTATATTTATCATATCACCATCAATTTGCGTTAATTTTTAAAGCGAGATAATTTCACTTTTGTTGTAAGTGAGCAGATATAAATAAAATCTTTGAGGATAGTTCATAAAATAGATTGAACGATTTGGAGAACGTTAGCTTTGGCAAAGGGGAAGGGGGCAGGTTGGTCGACCACCCCCCCCCCCCCATCAGAAAATTGTATTAATTTATCTATCTTTATGTATATGAATTCATAGAAAGGATATCCAGCTATTTTGTCGGCACCTCTCGTATTTTACAGCAGTAATTTTTTCCCCGTGCCGTTTAAAAAAAACTGCCCATTTTGCTTGTGATTAAAATCGATAACGAGACGCCCCCCCCCCCGAATGGCAGAATCGTATCAAGCTTGAATATTCGTTTAAGCAATATCGATACAAGTGTGTTACTCTTGTGATAAAATTGCCATTTTTATGATTTTAATGGAAGAACTATCATTAAATTGTTGACCAAGAAAACAAATGTGTGGGACACGTGGCGAAAGGAAAAAAGATTTAGAAAAAAACGCGATCGTTCTTCCATTCCGCGGGAGATTAAAGTTAACTCACAGCCGTCTGGAAATGTGTGCTGTTTATTGGCGACGTGACACAATGGGAGAGAGAGAAAGAGAGAGAGAGATAGAGAGAGAGAGAGAGTGAGTGAATGAGAGGGGTGGTCTCTCATGACACTAAGTAACCTCGACGTCCAACCTTTGTTAGTGATACCGACCAGATTCCAAAAAGAAATTCCCTTTTCTCTTCTACAGCCTCCCTCTGCACAAATACCCAGCATCTTTTCACTCTTCTCTTTTCTTCCTCCAAAAAGAAAGGAAAAAACCCGCCATACATAATGCAGAAGCACCCAGTACAGCCCAGCCTACTCGGTTGGGCTTCCCGACCGTAAGCCGCTTTCAGAGCTATCGTTATAATGAGTTTCTGAATAGACTGCTATTGCTCTTACAATACACTTACAATAGTGTTTTGAACTCGATTATAGGCCCCATCGACAGTCGGCGTAACTATACCCAGATATACTATAGAAATACAAACTTAGCTTTCGCATCAATAATGCAGGATCTTTAATACCCCGGTCGTCTCGCTTATCTTTTTTATAGCTCACTTGTATCATGCTTATCATCCATACAAGTATGTTACCGTTTTACATTCGTCTGCTTTATAGGTCCTTTTAGCTCGAGCAAAGCTAATAATTACATTATCCTATTCTCACAATAATTGCAACAGGATAAGACTTATTCCGCCGCCTTGAAGGAGCCGAACAACAAAAGTCAGACTATGAGTAAAAAAAACCCTAACATATTCGATAAAATGTTGGTGTACGTAATCCTGTATCGAGATTGGAGCATTGGTATCAAAACATTCTTGTGGGGGGAGGATGAATAAGAAATTGTTTCTTATGTCATTTCTCCTGCCATATCTTTAAGGAAAGTAAAAGATGATAGAAAATCTGTGGCATTTTTTTATTTTCATGACGTTTTTACCACTTTTCTGGTAAAGTAATTCTTTGAAAGAAGGAAAAGTCGATAAAAAAAAATAAGTGGCTGTTTGATGAAACACAAACGAGAGGTTATGAATAAGAGAAAAATTGAACAAGAAGAGGACCCCCTTCAAAACAGAAAATCACTAATTTGCTATATTATCGAGTGAATGAATTCAATACTTACATTTCAATTTGATAATATCTAACTGAAAAGATTATGTGAAGACGAGGAATTACGCACGAGAAAGTGATAGCAAAAATAGAAGGAAAAAAAAAAAGAATAACAAAACTGCTCATTCATCGTACTAAAAAAATGCGCGATGTTCTGCGATTTTTTATTTCAAATTCTTTGAGCTTAATACAGGGCAGCCCTTTAAATGAAAAAAACCCCTTTAAAATCTATACAAATACCAAAAAATAAAGTCTTCTTCCTATTGTATTATAACATAGCTTTTGTTCTACCCCCATGTATCCAGGGACCGGTCTTTTCTTTACCCCCCCCCCCCTTCTTGTCGCCTCAATTACCCCTAGTGGAGTTGAAGCAAGGGGGAGGGGCATGGTCTCAATAGCTGTATTGATGCGCACTTAAGCGCGTTATTTTCTTTAATCGACCGATAAGTTTTCTCCTATTTTCTAGCACCTTCTTCAACCTTAAGCCTCATGCCGCCTTCTCTACCGACTATATAGGCCTATTAGAGTTGTTGAGTCTGAGTTTTTCTTTTATTAAAGATTTAATAGAAACAAGTGATCTTGTAGAAGATATGAAGGTTTCTTTATACCTGTTGCATTGAGGGAGTACATTGATATGGCGTTTTTTATCATGACTTTCAATCGACAGGTCAATAATTAGAATCTCTTGCAGGACATTTCATCTAGGGTTGCCTTTCTCGACTCAGGGGATTTATTCCTTGAAATACACCGATAACGGTTTGTGGAGGCCAACTCGTTGTAAATGATGAGAGAGAGTTGGTAATATAATTAAGACAGGTAGTTACATGATGTAAAGGCAAATGGTCATAGTTATTGACATCCTTTGAAAGAAAAAAGGTTTATTGGGAAGCCGCGCAGACACCTTCATCAAAGAGATCTTTACTCAAAAACACCCTTTAGAAAAATGTTTGTTTATAGCGCCTGTGTGGTATCTTTACACAACCTACAAATATCATCTAAGTAGATACAAGTAAATAGGGGCATGTCCACATTGTCGCATAAAACACAATTGCTCTCTCTCTCTCTCTCTCTCTCTCTCTCTATCTCTCTTTCTCTCTCTCTGTGCGCAACCTCCGTCCCTGCAGCAAGGTGTGTGCAGTATTATATTGGTGAAAGTGCTTGAAAGATCTTTGGTGCAATCGAAAAACATGTGAACGGTCCCCGCCCCGTCTCTTTTCTCATCAATGTGAATTCGTGGTTATGTCCACTTGGTAAGGCGACACTTTGTGACTATTGACAAATGCAGATATCATCTCTTCTCTCTCTCTTTTATTCGTGCTCGTCCTTGCTTTTTATTTCCCCCTCTCACACTGACTCGCTCCCTCTCTTCTGAAGACAGTCATTGTCTCGGGTCGTCGCAATGTCGTCACTATTATCCCAAACATTCCAAAAGTGACACTTTGGCTAATGATGTGATCTGCTTACTTACAATTACGATATGAATACATTCTTCCCTCGTCTGCCCATGTATGTATCGATTAAAACGATGTGACAATCAGGATCAAAGAAGGATAAAACACCACCGTTTATTCGATCTCCAGATGTTACTGCCCTACCCAGGGGCGTTGGTAGAACAGTTTGAAAGGAGTGGGTGTCGGTCGATCGGTAGTGATCAACATAGACGGGCAAAACTTTCAAACTTTTCAACAAGGAATTATAAAAAAAAAATCATCTGTGACCTCAATTCAATTCAGTTCATTTATTCAACGATATAAAATTAGTAAATGTACGATACAATAGAACATGTTGACATAATCATATCACACAATTCTTTAGATTTTCATATACAAATGAAAGATGTTAATTAAGAATTGGTTAACTCTGTCAAATTCCTAGGATTTATACTTGATGATAATCTATCATTTAAGGAACACCGTTTCTTTATAAGTAATAAGATGTCAAGTAACAAAGGTATATTATCTAAATTACGTAGTACCTTTACAGAAAAGCACCTGTTTATGCTTTATAATTCTCTATTACTTCCTTATATTCATTATGATAATATTACTTGGGCAAGTTGTGGCACTACTAAATTGAACCCTATACTAATACTGCAAAAATGCCTGACGCATATGTTTGAATTCCCCTTACTTAACTCCGTCACACCCAATATTTGCAAGATTAAACACATTGAAAATGTTTGATATTCATAAAATACAGATTGCGATCCTGATGTAATTACGTGAAACATAATTTAACACTTCACAATATAATACATTTATTTCAGTTTAACAAAAATTACCATCAGTATAATACCCGATCCCACTCTAAATTCCATTTTCCATTAGCACTCAATCAGTCAACTCTTATTGCATTTAAATCTGCTGGTCCTCGAATATGGAATTCTCTCCGTTCTGATGTAATTTCCAGCACTAATATTAATTCATTCAAAACCAAACTCAAACGTTCAATACTAACTACCTATACCAAATAAACATGTCATTTCATCTCTCCTCTCTACGTTTTCTTATTTCACCTTTTCCTATCTCCCATTACCTGTATGTTTAGTGCTTAATATTTTAAGGTTTTTTAAATTAAGTTTGTTTTGTGTCTCACGTTTATTCTATGTATATTTATATATGTATTGGGTGCCCCATTAATCAAGCCTTGGCTTTTAGGGGCGCTCTGGCCATTTACACTGTATTAATAATTTTCATACATCCATGATTTTA